GAAAATGTATGAAGAGTTGGTGTTAAAAGTGAAGAGTATTGGTTGGTATTTATAGAAAAAAAATTCAGTATTTTTTTCGTAATTTTTAAAATTTTTTCCGATTTTTTTCTCTTTTTTTTTTGGCCAAAAAATTGCCTACCGTTGGATTGCTGGAAAAAACCAATCGGAGCGCCCAGGAGCTTCCACGTGGCATAGAGCCGTTGGGGGTTACTGTTTTGATTTTTTTATTCACGAAAAAATGGCTGCCGTTGGATAAGTTTAAAAAGCAGATCGGATGGCCCAGCATGCGACACGTGTAATCATACCGTTGGGCGGGTACTGTAGCGCGCGTCAAATTTTTTTAAAACCGGGCGCGTGTATTGCACGTGCCAGCTTTAAAAAAATTTAAACAGCTGCGCTGACGTCAACTCAGCCCGCGGGCTGGAGCTCGGGCCAGCCTTCCCCTCCGGCTTGCCCAGGTTCGTGGGCCCCACTGTTTGCCCTGGCAGATTGTTGTTGCTGGAAACCTGTTTTTGGGTTTCCCCCCCCAACCCTCCCCTTGGGCCCTCTGGTGGCAATGCTCTTAAAGTGGCACAGTCAAGTGTTCTTTTTCCCTGTTCTTTTTGGGTTGGGATGATATTTGGCCAGGCTTTGTTTGTGTTGTGTTGTCAAGTTTTTTCCTTTACGTTGCTGTCAGCTGGTAAATAATGATTCCACCATATGTATATGCAAAGAGCACAACCATATATTATAGCGTACTATCCCCAGCTTAGCAAAAGTGTGGCAACTTGTCCTAGACATACTATTTCCCCTTTTTAACAAATAGCAATCGATGCTTGGTGAAAAATGGGCTTCAATTGAACTCGGAGATAGTTTTCCCATATATAATGAGCATGATTTATTCGAAAGGTGAACCATGTCGGACTTTAATAAATAAATAAATAAAGAATCTACTATAATTTAATGAATTTCACAAGAATATATATTAGAACATACAATGGACAACTATTTTTTTGACATGAAGGAGGCCGTAATATTAGATTAAATCTAGGGTATGTCTCGGGTTCGATTCTCTCCCCTCCTATTGTAAAAAATTATAATAACATCATGTGCGCTCCATCACGTGGCTAGCATAAATACCAAGTCCTCTCTATAATGTATAGATGATCTTATAATAGTCTTTGATTGCTGGTTAAAATGACCCAAAAAAAATAATATGCATTTTATGTAGGTCTTTATGTGAGGCACCATATGTGAAGAAAGTAAAATGAATTGGTGAAATGAGCCCTTAAAGTGGACGGTCTAAAATCCTATCCTATGCCTGCACTTTTGACCAATTGGATTCGAAATATACTTATGTGTGTATAAATTATTAACCCTGCTGCTTTATGCTTTGGCTCCAAATAAAGGCAGTTCCTGATTGTACTCTCATAATCTCATTAGTATTCGGTGGGAATGTTTTTGATTAAGACTATGGAGTGTAAAATAATTGGAGTCTTGGGATCTGCTCACATATAATAAGTTTTTTCTTTGTAGCTAGCTATCATAAGCAGCATCTTTGTCGACAAACCTTGTATTTATGTACCCAAATCTTTGAGAGTTCCTAATACTCTACACAAAATGCTCTGTGGCTTTAGGCAGATCATGTTTGTTATCATAGTGCTGAGTCATGTTAGGCAATGAAGGCTACACTTGCAAGGAACATTGTATGCTTGCAAGGCCAAAAACAAATTAAAAAGCAACCATCATGGGTGGCAGATGGGTTTAGCATAGGAGTAATGTTTTCATTTTTATTTTTAAAAATACCAAATTTATTGACAATACCTCTCTCCTAGATGTTCGATCTATTTAAATACGAAATACTGTTAGATTCCCACTCTTTTATGAGTTTTATATAATTTCATGTTATCATGAATTTCACGTCATATGAGAGAGTTGAGATAAAAGTTAGTGTGTCTAGTATTATTATTAGTCAGAGATTGCTGAGGAATTCGAACATATGATCTCTCTCAACATTGATAAAAAAAAAAAGGGTCATAAGTTCCACTTCTTAGAGATACATATTCTAAATACATATGGTAACTATAGTTTCATTGTTAGTGGAAAAAAAGAAGGAAAAAAAGAGAGAGAGTATATAGGCCCACAACTATAGTTTCTTAAAATAAAATTTCCATGGTGAAAATTTGGGCTGTGACCCACAACTTACCAAGCCTCATGTTCACCACAAGAACTCCCTACAAAATCCAATCCCCCCAGAAAGAAACAGAAAACAAGAGCCACCAGAAAGAAAATGACCCCATGTTGTTGCTCTTTCACTTCTTCAACCTCTATCTCCAAATTCATCTCAGAGAGACCACACCTCTCCATGCTTGAAAAACAATGTACCAACATGAAAGACCTCCAAAAGATCCATGCCCACCTCATCAAAACTGGCCTTGTCAGTGACACTGTTGCAGCTAGCCGCGTCTTGGCCTTTTGTGCCTCCCCAGCTGGAAACATCAGCTATGCTTACATGGTTTTCAGGCACATCCAGAATCCAAACCCTTTCATTTGGAACACCATCATTAGAGGCTTCTCTGAAAGCCCAACCCCAGAAACTGCAATCTCTCTTTTCATTGATATGTTGGTCACTTCAGCAATTGAGCCACAGAGATTGACTTACCCTTCAGTCTTTAAGGCTTATGCTCAACTTGGTCTAGCCCATGATGGAGCTCAGCTTCATGGAAGGATTATAAAATTGGGTCTTGAAAGTGATCAGTTTATAAGAAACACCATCATACACATGTATGCAAATTGTGGGTTTTTGAGTGAAGCAAGAAGACTGTTTGATGAAGACTTGGAATGTGACACTGTTGCATGGAATTCTATGATAATGGGCCATTCCAAATGGGGTGAAGTCAGTGAATCTAAAAGGCTGTTTGATAAGATTCCTTTGAGGAACTCAGTTTCTTGGAACTCTATGATTAGTGGGTTTGTTAGGAATGGGAAGTATACAGAGGCATTGGATCTTTTTAGTGAAATGCAGAAGAAGAGGGTTAAGCCTAGTGAGTTTACAATGGTGAGCCTGTTGAATGCTTCAGCTCAGTTAGGAGCAATTGGACAAGGGGAGTGGATTCATGAATATATAAAGAAAAATGGTGTTGAAATGAATGCCATTGTTATCACAGCAATTATAAACATGTACTGCAAGTGTGGAAGCATTGAAGAAGCTATTCGTGTGTTTGAGGCAAACCCCAGAAAAGGGTTGTCCTGTTGGAACTCCACCATCATGGGGCTAGCCATTAATGGTTGTGAGGAAGAAGCAATTGAGCTATTCTCAAGGCTTGAATCTTCAAATTTTATACCGGATGGTGTCAGTTTTCTTGGTGTCCTAACCGCGTGCAACCACTCGGGAATGGTGGATAAAGCAAGGGATTATTTCTCAATAATGAGTGGGACATATAAGATTGAACCTTCAATAAAACACTACAGTTGCATGGTTGATGTGTTAGGCCGAGCTGGACTTCTTGAAGAAGCAGAGGAGCTTATACATAGTATGCCAATGAAAGCAGATGCCATAATTTGGGGGTCTTTGCTCTCATCTTGTAGGAAGCATAGAAACGTTGAAATGGCTAAAAGGGCAGCAAATCGTGTGATTGAATTGGATCCAAGTGACAGCTGCGGTTATGTGCTTATGTCAAATGTTTATGCTGCCTCTAGTCAATTTCAGGAAGCAATGAAGGAAAGGCTTTCCATGAAGCAGCAGAAGATAGAGAAAGAACCGGGATGTAGTTTGATCGAAGTGGATGGGGAGGTTCATGAGTTTATAGCTGGTGGAAGGCTCCATCACAAAGCCCCAGAGATTTATTCTTTGTTGAATGAGTTGGGATTCATGTTACCAGAAATGGCATAGGTTATGATAATTTTGTTTCCAATGACCCATGATATATATCCCTGCACAAACTTTAGTTCTTTCTCTTTTCTGTTTTGTTGGTGGTCTTTCAAAAACTTATAGGTCATTTACATACCAACCCTTTTCAGTGGGAAAGCATGCAAGTGATTTTCTGTGGTTTTGAACAGAGGTGAAGTAGCCCAACTGTATTTTATATAGGTGCTCTTGCACTTGTTACATGATTATACACATAATGATACATTAACAGAAAAACAAGCAGAAACAGTACATCTGAAGAACATTAATGCCACAGATCAATAGAGGCATGCATTGCTGCAACCATGTTAAGTTTTTGACATGGTCCGGCCTGATGCCCAGGAGTACACCTCAGGAAGCACATTGCCATTGGTGAGCAGGTTCGGTGGAAGTCCACATAAATCCGAAATATCCAGGTGGTTGTGAGGGCCATTTTGGTATTGTTGGTTTTGCAAAGCTGCAGGAACTTCATCTTCAATAATTTGGTCATCCATGGCTTTAATAGAAATTGGCGATTCTAACATTGGTGGTTCAATTTGGGCAGGAACGGATCCAGGAATTTGTTGAACATGTCCAGATTGCTCCGATGTGAAGCAGCGGGCAATGATCATGTTCTTGACATTCTCTTGCAAATTTTCAAAGGCTCCAACTGCACCTGTAAACAATGTTTTGAGGTATGGGTACGAAGAAACAGCTATAAAGCTCACAAAACAAATGATCCAGAAGAGGAGGGAAGGTATCTCTAAAGCAGGCAGTAGGATCCCCAATACCAAAATGTAGGTAAGAGCTCCAAAAAGGAGGCTAAGCCTGCTCATGAATTTTCCCCAATTTGAGTTGGGGCTAGCTTCGAGTATATAATGGCCAATTGATGACCCGCCGAAAAAGGTCAAGGCAACACTAATCCTCACAAAATTTGGATCGTCTATGTCAAGTAGAGATGCCATTCCGGCTCTCTGCTGCTTCAGCGAAAGGAGTGCGCCTTGCATAGCGATGAGAGCAAGTATGTGTTTGGACAACTCCGCTATAGAAGGTTCTTTGCTTGTGCTGTTATAGTTAATGAGAAAGTTTAATTAAATGGTATTGCAACAGAGGATTATATATAAATAACAGATAGAAGAAGTTGATGAGAAGATCATTGATAGACATGAGATAATTAGTTAGTTGAAGCTAGCTAGGATTACTAAAACGCCAACAGCAAAACAAAAGATAACTACTTATGCCGAACTTCTCTCCCCCATTGAAGTGCTTGTAGTCAATCTCGAGCTTGCTAAAGTGACGAGGAGTAGGAGTATTTATAGAGGCAGGCAGCAAGCAACGGAAGAGCCCCCTTTTGTTTTTCACTTTTCACAGAGGTTCATGAGTTGTCATATATGATACATTTGCAACCACATCCAAATGTAATATTTAAATAATACGTTCCTAGTTGTCATATATGAATATTACATTTGGATGTGGTTGCAAATGTATCTAATGAATTTTCTTCAACAAAAGGCCCAATGACATAGGATCACAAACACAATCCCATAACAAAAGGCCCAACCGCACACGATAAACAAGATCCAACGAAATGAAAGTAGCAAAGACTGAAACAAGCCCAAATTTCCACCATGGAAATTTAATTGTAAGAAACTATAGTTATGGGCCTATCTAATCTCTCTCTTTTTTCTTTTTTCTTTTTTCTTTTTTCTTTTTTCTTTTTTCTTTTTTCTTTTTTCTTTTTTCTTTTTTTTTTCTAATGAGAATGAAACTATAGTTACCATTAGGCCTCATCATTTGGCCCGCGGGCTCATGGGCCGATGGGGGCCCGCCCGGCCCCCTGGAAAAAAGCCCCGCCCCGCCCCCTCTGT